GGGGGGGGGGGCGGGGAGGCGGGCAGAGAACACGGTCAGCAGGAGGGCTCGCGCGGGTGCGCCCTGCCGTGGACGGCCGCCGGTGTGGGAAGGTTGGCCTGGGGGCACCTCTCTTCGCTGTTCTACCCCTTCGACTCCCACACGGGCTTGGGGACGCCGGAAGGGACGATCCTGGAGCCGAGGCTGAATGCTGGAATTGGGAGGGGGAGCGGAGGAAGAAGGCTGCCACGCATAGTGGGCCGCTACCTTTCAGAATCCCGGTGTGACCACCCCGCACCCCGCGCCCTGGCAGGTCCAACCCCCTTCCAGCCAAAACCCCTCCTCTAGGTCCGGCCCGGGGCCGCTGAAGAGACGAGGAGGACTGGAGAAAGTAAGAGTCACCTCCCCGATTCGCCATCTATCCGATGCCCAAGGTTTAATCTCCGGCTTTGGGGGGGTTTGCGGACTTTCACAGCGGCCCTTACACGTCCCTTCTGAGCATCAGGAGAAATCTGTGGAGTGCGCAGAGGGACTTTGGTCAATCCCGGCCCCCAGTGGGTGGTCGGAGTGCTTATTGCTCCCTGAAGTGTAGGGTGTAGCTAGCTGTTCACACTGAGGCCGAGGGACAGGTTAAGGGACTTTGACTTGAGGTCGAGGGGCCGTGAGGGGCAAGAAGAATTAGGGCCTCTGGACCTCTAGATAGGGCTCCTTGCCACTGCCCTATGCTGAACATAGCTCAAAGCCTCAGAGGGGTCTTCCTGGGGTCATCCTTAATCTTCCAGTTTCTTGGGTTTGGGAGCAAGCATGTATCGGGTCCCTGAGCAGGGCTGATTCCCACCAACCCTTCTCTTTCTTCATCTGCCTGGCACTGAAGTTGGACTCCCCCACGGAAGAAGGCAAAGAAGTGTCTACATCTACTAGAGGTGATACACTACTGCAGACAAATGATTTTTCTCAGATCAAGTAGGACAATACCAGTTCCCTGAAAGAAAGTGGCCCGGTTGAGCAGGTGGGAAAGAGGTGGATGGACTGGGGAACGGGATTTCTTAGCAGTGTTGCTTTCCTTATTCCTTGGACTTGGGAGCCTTTTGTTTCTTCCTCTCAATTATGAATAATCACTCCTGAGTAGGGGAGTTACTGGGAGTCACCATTTGCCATATGCTTGGATTCTGTGACTTTTGCAGGAGATGGATCAAAGCAAAGGAGTAAAGCTCATTTTTGTATAAAGTGATTGTTCTCCCAAATACAGCCAGATGCAGGCAGGGCCACCCAGAGTTCTTACCTGGAACCTGCAGATACAAGTGGGAACCACCCCCTTCAGACTTAACTTGACTCAGCGTTAACAGGATTCATGTGCACCCCCTTCTCAGGAACACCAGCCAGGCACCATGTCCTGGAGGAGAAGCTGGGGAAGAACCAAGGATTCGCCAAGGCAGGTCCGACTAAGGTACTTTGGCAAATAGCGCAGCCTTGCTCTCAAAGTCCAGATCCTCTGCCTGGGTTCCCAGCCCTGTGACTGGGCAGGGAACTACCTGTTGAGTGTTGGTAATTTGTGCTCACAGTTCTGCCCACTGCAGTTCTAAAGCAGATAAAATGCTGGGCCCACAAATTCCTAGCACACAGCATCAGATCAATCCTCCCTGCCCTGTCCAGTTCCTTCCCCTGACCTGACATCTCCCTGTACACTGTTATCTCTTCGAAGCTTTGTGTTTATTCTGCATTTCACTTAGCACAGGGGTTATGAGTCAGAGCACCTGGGTTAAAACCTGCCTCATCAATTCCTAACCAGGTGATCTCAGGTATACTTAACCTTTCTGCACCTCAGTTTTCTCATCCAGAAAAAGGATGATGCTGTCTACCTCATTAAATACGCGAGGCCATTTGATCGTTCAACAAATGTGTACTGAGTACCTACTAGGCGTTCATTATACTAGGCTCCATTCCAGGTTCTCAGGGTGCATCTGTGAACACAATTGGCTGAGGGGATGGCTGAGAGAGGCAGGGCGGGCAGTTAGCAAAATCAATAACATGATCTGCTATGTTTGATCCATGCTGCAGAGGAAAAAGAAAGTGGAGCAGCATCAGGTAACAGGGGTGCTGGGGATAAGCTGGTGACAGTCACAGTATTAAAGAAGAGGTCAGGACAGGTTCCACTGTGATTGTGACATCTGAGATGAGGGAGTTGATCAAGCCCAAGCCTGGGTGAGATCAGGGTCCCAGGTAGAAGCCACCATGAGAGCAAAGGCCCTAAAGTTGTGGAAGCACACCCAGTGAGGCAGCCAGTGAGCAAGTACAGTAGGGTGTCAGCTCAGGGTGGAGGTGGGCAGGCAACTGGAGGCCATGGGAAGGAGTTTTCCTTGACACGAGATGGGATTGTGACAGATACCACAGTGAAGCAAGAAAGAGAACCCTGAATGTCAATGCTGCTCAAGGACCATCGAGCCATCTCACACTTAATGTATACATTTCATTTGGTTTATATTATGTTGCAGATTGTGTCTATTTTTATGAAAGGCTTGCTGTGTGCCACCATTTGTTTCAACCTTGGGGAGACCATAGTGGACAGAAGATCCTGGCTTTTAGAAGCTGGAAGGGGAATCAGATGGTAGATGGCATGAAAAAAATAAAGCAGGCTAAGAAGGATCCTGCTGGGGCGGTCAGGTAGGACCTTCATGAGAAGGTAACATTTGAGGAGAGAGCAGGTGGAGGGCATACTGAACAGAGGTGTGTGGAAAGAACATTCCAGCAGAGGGAACAGCATGTGCAAAGGCCATAAAGCAGGAGGCTTGTCCTCGCCCCTGGAGAAAAGGGAGGCTGGAATGGAGTGACTGTGGATTTTACACTTAGAGGGTTTCAAGTGAGGGCATGGCCTGATGGGACTTTGATTTTACGTGATCACCGTGCAGATCAGATTGGAGCTGGATGGAGGAGGCAGAGGCCATGTTAGAAGCAGCCACAGAAATGCAGGCAGGACATGGGCCATTCCAGAGTCAGCTGGTGAACAGTGGTGATTTTCCCCATGGTGTGCTGCTGGGTGTCAAAGGAGTGAGAAACGGCTGTAGTTTTGGCCCCAACTGGGTGATTGGAGGGTCTGCCTAGGAGACTGCAAAGCAGGTTTCTGGGAAAGGGTTAGGAGACAAAGATGAGTTTTGGACTTGCTGGGTCTGAAATGCTCAAAAGACAAATAGTTATGACTGTCCAGGGAGAAAGCCAAGGCTGGAGGTGGAAATCTGTTGTCCCAGCACAGAGCAGGAATTGAGACCCTGGGATGGACAAGTGCAGGTTCAGAAGCTGTCTTGGAGAGGGTGGATCTGCCACACCAGCTTTGGAGACTAGGAAGAGAGGAGGGAGATCCAGAGGGGGAGGACAAGAAAAAAGGGGGGAGCGGGGAAAGGGGAAGGAGACGGAGGAGCCACCATGAGCTGGAGAGAGATCTGGGCAGTGCCGAGCCTTGGAATCGGCAAATGTGTTTCAAGAAAGAGGGATATTCCGTGAAGATAAGTGCTGCTGGAAGAACGAATTAGACGAGACACCGATGAGAATACTGACCCTGGTATTTGGTATAGAGGGCCCCTGAGCAGAGCAGAGGTGGTAGAGCTGCTGGGATGGAGTAGTTTGGAGAGAGAAAGGAGGTGAGGAAGTGGAGACAGTTGGGCAAGAAAAAGTGGCAGTTGCCAAGGGAGCATGGGTCCCATCTTAAGGATGGGAGAATTACAGTGTGTGGCTTAAAAGAAGGAGGGGCTGGGCAGGAGCTAAGGGGAGCAGTGAAGGGAGAGGAGAAGGCAAAGTGACCTCTGGGCCCTGAGGCTGACAGGGAGCAGGTGAGTGGAAGTCCATGGTGGACTTCTGAATACTCAGACACTTTGGCAAAATAAGAAACAGGGTGTGATGATGTATTTTATGCATCAACTTGGCAAGGTCAGTGTGCCCAGGTATTTGATAAACACTTGTCTAGATTTGCTGTGAAGATTTTTTTTTTAGATGAGATAAACATTTAAATCAGTAGACTTTGGGGCATCCCTTGTGGCGCAGTGGTTAAGAATCCGCCTGCCAATGCAGGGGACATGGGTTCGAGCCCTGGCCTGGGAAGCTCCCACGTGCCGCAGAGCAGCTAAGCTCGTGCGCCACAACTACTGAGCCCGTGTGCCAAACTGCTGAAGCCCACGCATCTAGAGCCTGTGCTCCGCAACAAGAGAAGCCACCGCAATGAGAAGCCCGTGCACCGTAACGAAGAGTAGCCCCCACTCGCCGCAACTAGAGAAAGCCCGTGTGCAGCAACGAAGACCCAATGCAGCCAAAAATAAATAAATAAATTTATAAATAAATAAATTTATAAATAAATAAATTAGTAGACTTTTAAGTAAAGCAGATTATCCTCCATAATATTGGTGGGCCTCAACCAATCAGTTATTAATGGTAAAGACAGGTTTACACACACACACACACACACACACATCCTATTGGTCTTGTTTTCCTGGAGAACCCTGACTGATCCATGGGGCCCTTGGCTAACAGTGAGGAGCATGAGATGGTAGAGGTGTGAGAGCAGGAAGGAGAACACATGATACGCTCACCTTGCAGAGT